ATATAAAGTTATATTGACACAGTTATCGAAAAGCGAACAGAATGACGGAGAGGAATAAAAGTAACCTATTTGTGAATTGGGAAAAATATCATTACTAAATAGGTAACGGCCAATGACCGTATTTCGTTTTTTGTCCCTCTTTAAATTTCAAGAAAAGAACAAAAGTTGTAAGGAATTGTTATTGTTATGAAGAAAAAACCTAGTGTCACTGGGGCTCTGGGAAGACAAGCAAAAAACAAACCATCATTAATATTAAAAATTGAAAGCCCGCTGAAAAATGTACGCCACAAGTAACGACTAACTAATTACCCAACGTTCAGAAGCGCTAAGCGTCAAGTGAAAACAGAGAGCGTTACATTTGAACAGTATATGACATGTTGCACGTGGCTAGACCGTATGCGGCAAATAGATTGAATAGTCAACGGCACTTAAAAAGTAACAACGGCAATGTACGTTTGTTTCACGTGCGAGAAGACGAAACTTGACAGTGATTTAATATAGTTAATTGTTTGTGAATAAATAGAAACATTAACTCGATTGACTGTATGTTTATATTCACGAGGCATCCATATACATTAGAAAGCTTGAGGCGGGTCACTCGAATCTCCCCTCTCCCTTTTCCCTCTCTCATTCTACATTGTCGACGTGCAGTCAGCGTTGTTACGCGCTAACCACAGCTGACGTTTGTTGTATATTTCTCATTTTTGACCGTCACGATATATAGGGTTAGCCAAAACTCAAGCTGAAAAAAGCTCCCTCATCGCAAATTTTTACAATAGAAAGTCAGCTTAACGACGCACGACAAGTTCTACGTTCGTGTCATAATACCTCATAAGCATACCGCTGAGTAGTCTAATATGAGTCAGGAAAATCGTTGTAATTTCTATCGTACGTTGATCATATACTTGAAGCTATCAATAAGAATACGGAAACTGAATGACGGTGCCCCTGCTAACGCTATGCATAGTTATCAGATCTAGGGTGACAACTGCAACTAGCGAGGGGCTTTTTTCAAATTTTTAAGCTACATTTTCTACAAACTCAACACTAGTAGAGGCATGGTTCGATTGGCTGTAAGAGGAACGGACATCCATACCAGCTGCCAACAAATACGTTCATTTATTTTAAATGTGCAACTCTGAATGAGTATGTTATATATATACAGAACAGGTATATAGAATCTTTATAAGAAGAAAGATAGTGTTTTTCCATGGATTAATCGGAAGCGTTCACGTAACAAGCACAGTGGTATTATATCTGATTTGTTCAGGTTTAAATCGATCAGGCAGGCCTACTTCTAGCCATAACATAGAGTTTGCAGAATCGCCATATAATCGGTAAGGTTTTGTAATTAGTTCTATATATGCACTTCCCCGATCGCCTTTGTTCAAAATTAGCCAAAAAAATAACTTTAATAAAGTGGCAAATAATGCACAGGTTGCTTCCTCGTGCCTTACAACTTTCATTATATCGTGTATGATACACGTTCCATTTATTATAAATACATGAGTCATAAATCTTATGACACGAGCCCTTATAGCGTACTGACTCAATAGGTAAACCAGTAAACACTGAAGTTATAACATAATGGTTATTCTGAACGTATTACTCAGTGTCGGCCTCATCATCAAGAGGCGACCTTCGTCTAGTCAAATTTCAAAGGCCTAAAGCTATTTATCTGTCAGTTAGTCATGCGATAGATAACGAACAGCTTTATCCGATGCTTACGATCGCTAAACGTAATGTTGAGCTCGCAGTTATCTATCTGCGTAAACTTATCAATCGTTTATAAAATCTAGCACTTGCAAGCTTTCCAAAATAACCCCACAAGACGTTATGTAGCTACTGCTTAATAGAATACGATGCGTCTGTTCGAGAAGGCCAATAAACGTCCGCCATCATCATTACTAGGGTAGAGCTAGCATCTGTTGCCAAGCGATTTTCTAGACAGTGGTTCTATTTTTCCTCGCTTCCAGGGCAATAATAGCTTTTTGTTGACGGCTAGCTCGGGGAGGCAAGTGAGCAACACAATGCCGTCTATAGGCTAATTGATTGCGCGTCAAGTATTGTTTGCCATGACAAGATTTATCTCAGTTTGGCACGGAAAAGCTCAGCTATTAACGACTCTGAACAGTTGGCTGACCGTTTGGTTATAGCGCACGCGACGTTGAGAATCCGCCCCTCGATAAAAGCGATAGCCAATACAAGGGAAAGCGACCAGCTAGACGGAAGCGATGACTCGAAAGAGAGATGACCAGCCTGCGAACCTCGCTCATCGGTGCGTGTCATGGTCGGCACTGATCCTTCAATCGAATCGTCAACTTTACGGCAACTTGTATCAGTGCTTAACTCCATTGTGTCGTGCGCTAATCCAGGATAGCTTAAGAGAAATAATATGCTTACATTGGCTTCGGGATGAGCCCGTTTCATGGCGCACAATCACTCCATCAATTTGTAAACGCCCAGTCTACTATTGGTGTCCCTTGAAATTGAAGTGGTCGACAGTTGGGACACGACCGGAAGACGTTCAAGCAATCTTGCGTAAAGTCGAGCAAGATTTAGACCACAAACAGAGACAAAGGAATTCGACGCTTCAACAACTGTGAAATCAATCAAGATCAGAGTTTAGTGTTCTTGCAGTGAGACGGCACAGGATTCTGACGGGTGCGAACATGTCGTCAGACTATAATGATCACGCATCAGCGAAGCGGCGCTATATGCACGTCGCATTCGCAGCTTACCTCGGATCACTGTCGATTGGCCTGGCTGTCGGTTTTTCATCACCGGCTATGGAGGAATTGGCAGGCGAATTCGACAAATTAGACAAGTCGTTATTTGGGAGTATCCTGACAATCGGCGCCCTTATCGGCGGACTTTTAGCTGGTGTTGCTGGTGAAAAAATTGGTCGCAGAGGCACGATTCTAGCCACGACAGGGCTGTTTTCCGTTGGCTGGCTGCTGGTCCTTACCAGACAGAACGCAGCTATGCTCTATAGTGCCCGCTTTATTCTAGGGACAGCATGTGGTATTAATTGTATGATAGTGCCTGTCTACTTGGGAGAGGTGAGCACTCCAGAACACCGTGGAATGCTGGGTACTGGTCATCAATTTAGCACTGTTTTCGGCGTCTTTATAGCCTACTGTTTAGGTTCTGTCATCAATGTGACACTGTTAGCCATAGCATCCTTGGTGCCCGTCGCAGCTACCACCATTATGTTCTTTATGCCCGAATCACCAACTTGGCTGGTCAAAAAGGGCAGACCCGACACCGAGCTCATGTTTTCCCTATACTCTCTCTTCGGGCGAACAAGGTACGCGGAGGCGCAACGCGATATTCTAATGGACTTAAAAGAAGACGACGGCAGCTATTTTACTATCTCGGATATGGTCAGACCCCCAATTCTGAAGCCACTTGGTCTGGCACTGTCGCTCATGTTTCTCCAGCAAATGTCGGGCATTAACGCTGTGATTTTCTACATGAAGGACATTTTCGCATCAGCCAAGACATCGATAGATGAAAACGTGGAGGCTATCATCATCGGCGGGATTCAAGTCATCTTTACGATTCCGACTGCCATCATGATTGATCGTGCTGGCCGTCGCGTTCTTCTGCACATTGCTGGCATCATTGAAGCCGTTGGGTTGGCCCTGCTCATTAGTTTCTACCTAATAAAGCACAGTTATCCAGAAACAGCTAGTCACATGGCATTCCTTCCTGTGAGCGCTTTGTCACTCTACGTGACTGGATTTGCAATAGGCTACGGGCCCATACCCTGGTTAATGATGGGCGAACTGATTCCTGATCGGGCTCGTGGCGTTGGCACAGGCCTCTTAACCGCGTTTAACTGGTTCTGCGCTTTTCTGGTCACAAATTTGTTCCCAAAGATAATGGACCACTTTGGAGAAGAGGTGGCCTATGGAATCTTTTTAGGTATAGTGAGTATCGGCGTCATCTACGTTTTCGTCTTTATACCAGAAACAAAGGGTAAGACCTTTGAGGAAATCGAAATAATGTTCCAGAGTCCACAATTAGACATATCGATCGAAAGCGGCGGCCAAAGGAATGGTTTGCAAGTCGTGTAGCACGAGAAGAGTCAGATCACAGTCACGAACTCTGCTACTGTTATATGCATTTATGAAGTAATAACTAACCATTGGTGTCAACGTACGCTGACTAAGACTAATGAAGACGATGTGCAAAACATTCACATATAAATTATGTAACACATACAACTACAAAATAGTATAGCCAGGTTGCCAAAACGTATGATAAGATCTTGAAGAATTCCAATGACGATCGTGATGATGTAGCTATAGTAGAAATAATGACTCGATCATAACGTCTTATATATAATATGATAATTAATTTATATTATTTTACAATGCAAAAAACACTTCTGCTAGTTTTTCCTTGGTTCTGTTATGTCACAGACTGCGTGAGCATTGGACGAAATACACATTTTAATATTTATACAATATATAGCCAAAAAACCATTCAACATATTGGTAGATCAAAGCCGTCATACATATTTCAAATCAGACCAGTAGCATTTTACGTCAGAGTGAACGGGATAAATAATAATAATAATTAAGAAAGAAAAACTTTGATGGTGGTGTAATAGTAGTTTACCGATCGTATTAATGCAAAAACAGTAGACCCCGCTATATGACAATCAACTTAAATTAATTAATTAAATTGTATATATATAAGTTCGGCGGAAGTTTACGTTGCACTTCTGCTATTGGCAAATCTGCGTGAGCTTACATGATGAAGATGAATCTTTTTTGCCATAACATTCCCATGTGGAAATGCGAAAACATTTGTTTCGCTCTTAATATCATATTGATTTGACGACTTCATCACTCATTTTTGTAAAATCTATGTGAAAACATTTGTAGAGGGCGGAAAGGTTTAGTATCATGACTCATTAAAAATGTTTGGTTATGTTTCTTTAGAGGTCCCTTTCATTCTGGATACTTTTGCGAGCTTCGCGAACTTTTTTTTAGTCAGAATATAACCCCTAAAATGTAACGACTATGGATACTTATACATTTTTTTTTGTTCCAGTTAACACTGGACGTATATCTTCTAGTCGATTTAATCAGTCATCTACGTCGATGACTGCGGAGTGGTCTTGAATGATTTGCCCTAAGATATTACTTAGTTAATGATTGTTTTATGGCTGGCACTGCGGAAAAATATGTGATGGTCGCAGTTGCTGATTCAAATCACCTGGAAGGGAGTGAAGCACAAATCATCATTTTCCTATATGCACCTGTTATATTTTCATTGAACCTAGATTGTACCACTGTATTTTCCGATTATTGAAGTATTGTTGTACTTGTAAGAAAACCAATAGAAGCTCCGAATTAATTATAATTATGTAATTCAAGTTGTGCTTGTGCTTCGCTGGTTATACTCACTTTCGAAAGCTTACTTTTGGCTTATAGATAATATAGAACGTAATATTTAGATATATCTGAAGAACAAGCCGCGTTTGACGCTTGACAGGGCCATTGTGGACAAGGCAGCCCTGGAAGAGTAAAACACCTTCCACGATTAAGTAGAACTTCTGGGAATTTTGCTGAATGTAAAGCCTAGGTCAAAAAAAGGCACAAAAGGAAAGGCCACTCGCGTATCCTTATGTCTTTTTAATAAATAAAGCATACGTTTCAAATAAACCATTTTTCTACTTAAGTCTAATATACCAATATAGCTGGCAGGTGATTATGGAATCAACATAATGTGCAACATTCATATTATTACCAAGGAACCAGCGGGAACAATAATAGCCTAACTCCCAACATACGAGACACTAAATAAGTTACCTTATTATGTTTTTTCCAGCCCTTCATATCAGCCTGCCACTCCAGTTAGATCACTTTTTAGTATTGGAAATAAACCTTCCCCTTTGTAGTCTTTTGAGGTCTGCATAAGCAAAGCCCAACATATGTGTGTTTATGTTTACCTAGTAGGACTAGACGGAGATCAAGACGGTTTCTTTTACATGAACTGACGTTCATGTAGGGTACCTTGCCGTACGGCCACTGTTTGTTGCAATAGAGTGCACCCGACCAACAATATCGTGGAGCAACAGCATAGCATAGCAGTATACGCCGATAAGGCCTCAGTAGATCTTTTGTTGATCGCCACTTTGTGGGTATCCTCAAATAATTTCTTTTCGATTTGGTAGACAGTTTGCTTTTCCCGATTAAAGGAAATGCCTATGGGAGAATCGCCACGATCATCATCTAAGTTAGAGTACGATTAGTAAAGTGAAGTCCCTGGATGGTTTTCGTAGCAGATGGAGTCGACGGACACACAAGAACAGAGAAGACTTTTGCCTGGAATACCGATGTCTCACGCACCTTGGAAGTATTTTGTGGCTAGCAATCGACAATAACGCGGGCCGTAAAGCAATGTAAGCTTTTATAGACATTAACAGTGTATATTGCCTTCGTAGAGAATGAAAACAGTCCCTAAATTCCCCATGGTCTGGGTCAATAATTTGTCCTGAATAGGCACAAGTATTTTTCTCGTATTTTCTTATGCTTAGATAGTGGCAGATGAAAACTACTGCAATGGCTGTCTCTGGTAGCAACTGAAGGACTCAATTCGTAACAAAAACGGATTCGTGTTGAATTCTCAGCTGAAGTATAGTGTCATTGAAGGGTGCTCACAAAAGAAGGGCAGCTGATGAGAACATATGCAGTTGAAATATAGTAGTCGATTCAGGCTGTCGTTTACCGTTACAACACGCGTATTTTTTGTTCAGCACTGAAATTTCGTGGCATCGATATTTCCAGCTGAAAGCCTATTGCCCGCCTAATTTCAAAATACAAACACTTCAAATAATTTGCCAGTGAAAACTTACCTCAGCTCAGGATCCACATAAAACCTCCCTATTCATCGTGGACGTTCTGTGAAATATGAATGATCGAGTAAGCGCTATTGCAGCCATACCATGCATTAGCAAAACGAATCTAGCAAGTTGCATCGAAGATCTTGGAGAATGAACAAAGTTGCAGGATTTTCTACTTATTCAGTAGATATAGGTGCCTTCCGGATTGAAGCTAAATGGATCGATAAAAACTACCAGGTGAAAAGATCTTTGGAGGATGACAGCTGGTACCTTTTGCTTTGTAAAACCGCTGTGATCCCGTCGACAAAAAAGAGAATAAAAAAGCTATATATACGCTGTTACTACCCATACAAATCGTGCTTAGTGGACAGAAATGTTTCTCAAGCAAGCTCTCGACTGGAAATATTTCCTACGTTTCCGGAGACCATTATTGGAATATCCCTGCGGCTTACTTTAACTTATTTAGGTATCGACCGTTGCTATTGATGTCAAATGCGTTGTTTTGTCCGCCGGTCAGGCTAACCTGACTGAGTAAATGCAAGGCCAAATGCCCCAACGTGTTTACCAGTCGCAATTTGAGGAAAAAAGTTGCTAAACTGTTTTTTTTATATGTAAGTAATTCGAAGTAAAATATTAACTGTGCTATTATAATTAGATGTTATTGCATCAAATTCCAGTCCTCTTCATTCAATACAGGTTTCATCTCGTTTTTTTTCCAAAAAAACCTATTCCCGCTAAAGCCCTTTTCAGGAATCCTTTGGGACGCTAAAGGGTAAATACTATGAAATGTAGTAAGGACAGGAGGCTTAAATTATGATCGTAAAGACCATGCCGGTCAAGGGCAGCCGCATCTCGAACTTGTAGTACTTATAGTAAAGACTTACTGAAGCTTCCTTGAATTTAATGAACTGGTGAGAGGATACGTATTTGAATGATCGGCGGGCCATCTGCACTACCGAAAAATTCTCCGCGGTTCCCATACTGTAACGTGCTTATACCGCGGATCGAACTCTATTGATATGCAACTGTATATAAATATATATCAAGATTTACAATCAGATGCCAACAACAAATACGAAGTACGCAACTCGACCCTTGTTATCAAAGGCCCTGCATTAGGCGTTATCTACCCATGGACCGTTTTGCTAGTTTGAATTCTATTATACAATACAATGTCTACATGGTATTAAAGAGGTCATTTTATGTTGGCAAACTCATAGTTGGCAGCCAGTAACACGCGCGGTGCATTGGAGAATTCATCTACGTCATAACTTCCAAAAAAACCTTAAAAGTCTATGACATTTATTCGTAATATCAGTCCCAATTGGATCGAATATTTATGCTTAATGGCAGGTGCAAACAAAAGCGTACCGTGTATGAATCTCGATCTAAAGTAGGACAATGTATTCAAGGACAAACAGCTCGAGATTAGGTCTATAGCAGAAGCACCATTTGAAATGAGAGGACATGCTAATGCGAGATTAATGATCCTTTGCGCCAGTAACCCAAACTGGCATAAAATGTTTACTATACAAAAAATATATCTGCAGACTATCAATTTTTCATCATAGCAAAACAAAGTTTCGTGTATTGTGACTTTGATGAGTGTCCTACACCTTAAGGTCAATAGTCAGAAAGAATGCTTAATAGCGATCCCAAATGTAACGCCACGACCTCGCATTGTAACCCTCTTTTATAAAAAGTGGGTTACAATGCGAATGCAGTAAAGTCACGAGCCAGTGTGGCATCCGGTCCCGAATGTTGCATTTGGTGACGAAACTCTGGGCATTCAGTTATACGTTCAGGGCGCTTTAATCAAACCGGAGGACAATAAGATCAATTCTAGCCGTGGACAATGCGTTTTCTTCACGTTCCACGTGGCACCTTGGTAGAATTAGGATGGCAATGGCCAGGCGGCGACCGTCAGGCTGGGCCCCGGCCGGCTGTTGGTTTGCCATCCGTGGGCAACACAGATGACGTGCATTGGCTCATCCTCGTTGAGAAGAAGTGGAACACAAAAAAGTCAAATAGAAGCAAGTTATATGGCTGAAAGCACACAAACGTGCACGATTGCTTTCGTGGAAACTGAGCAAGCGGTCGATGTTACATCTTCATTACTCTTTCCCTTTCGTCTCGCCTCTAGTTTTCCAACGGCATTTTGGTAAATTAATTTATTCGAAACGTAGCGAATGCAGACATGGACGTATACTGGTCAAGCGACATCATCGCCGCCGCGGCGGCAGAGACACGATGCATAACCCCCGTCCCATCCGTCGGTTCTGAAAAGATGACAAACAGAAAGAAAACTACGGGTAAACGGCGGATCTATATGCCGCTGTAATTTGAAAAGCAGATTAGAGTATACCATGCGCACTATGCGTAAACTCCATCTGGGATAACCATCGTGATTTCAATTCTGGCCATGACGGAAAAGTGTGCAGGCTGCCTACCAAGGCTGAAGATTTTCACGGGTCGCTGCAGCGTACGAGGCCCTTATGCTCTGTGTTACTATCGACTTTAAACTAAACAAAACTAAACATGCATAAAATATTAGAGTACTTTTAAAAACCTAAAAAGTCATGTTATCCAGATGGGTTCATGGATTCTTTGTGTCGTGTACCCATCATTTCGTGATGAGTTTGACGATAAATGTTTGTTGTTCTATTGAAATATTACTATAGCCAACGGCTGCTTTTGGCGCCAGCCTTCTCTGATATCAGACCGCTATGACAAAGACAGTTAACCTGACATTAAATTGCACCTCATTATTTAATGTATCGTATAATTACTGTCAAAATAGACAGTCATTTACGCTTTACTCAGCTGGTTGACTGACTGCACGATGTCAGTATATCGGGATGCACCAAGTATCATCTATGAAGCTGCATGTCGGCACGCTAGATGCTTTTAGAAGACGTGCCTAGCAAAAATACCTTACCTGATATCGAAAAATATCTGTCTAAATTTATTGTCAGAAATATGTTTTTTTTCCATAAATTCTAATTGAAAATTCGTAACTACACGTGGTCAGTTACACATCATCTATAGCATCATAGGGTATAGGTGCATATTGTGCTCCAATATTAGCCATGCTTTCAGGTGGTTACATTTGAGGTGAGATCTAAGCGTCGTCAGCTATTTCCAAAGAGGTAATAATGATTTGGCCACAGACGACGAAGACGACCAATCAAATTCGAACACCCAGAACTATTTAGTTATCCAAAAACATCATTCTGATCATATGAAGTGATTAAAATTAATTTTCTCTACGTTTTTTTTTTTTTCGAAATAAATCTAAAGGCAGCTTGACTAAGCGCGCTATAAATCCGGGTATAATAAGCTAATTAGTATTGTTTAATTGATCTAATGTGTTTCGCCGGTGAGCAATCGGAGCGTTTTATATAAGAACATGGCGGACGCAAATGTATATGCCAGAGTACTCGCTGGATTGCTACAGTCAATATTAAGCTAGTGGTTTGCTAGGTTTTTCCACGTGTCACTGACGTTTGCCGATTGTATTGAAGACAAAGTTGACGCTACCAACGTTTTACCTTAACTTTAATGGCTAGTTCGTAATTGGGCGGAGGGTTTATCTGTTGACCCTGTACATGGTGAGACGCAAGAATGCAGGCTACACGCCCAACTATTATGGGAAACCAAATCAATACTTGGGCGTAGGCGAGTTCCTATAAGAACTCACGTTTTTATGTAGTCTCTGTTCGATGGACG